CTCCAAAGAGCCTTAGCCTTCCCCCCCAGCATTTACCTTTTGTGAGGGCTGCTGGACCGGTAGGTAGACAGACATAAATGTGATTTAAAGAAACAAAGTTGATTTTGTTGTAGGTGCAGTTTGTGACACGAGTACGAATGCTGCATGAAAACAGAGAATCGCTTTTGCAGCCTCCTGTTGAAACTGAAGAGAAACAGCGGTGAAGCGAGTTCCCTCCTAACGGGAGAGCGCATCGCCGGGTATCTGTCGGGAGCAGAGCATCAGGTTCAGGTCAGAGGCTTGCAGCGGGGCTTGCGGTGCTTGGGCACCGCTTTTACTGCGCTCCTCGCTGTGGGTATGTGTGCAGAGGAGAGTCTGGGCGAGGAGGGGGCAAACGCCACTCTTGAAGAAACAGCAGGAGTAAATGGGTTATATTAGAGCAAAATAACAAAAGTAGAGTCCAGATTGCATCATCAGTGACTAAAAGCCCCAGGTTTTACAGCCTGGCACTTACAGGCTCGTTTCTGCTGGCCGCAGAGTGTCTCTAGGTGCTGAGCTTCTTGCAGCGTTCCTGGTTCCCTTGTTTATTCCCTCCTATGTTAAGTTGCTTGCAGTAGTTGGAACTTCAGCAGCACTCGCTTTGAAAAGTTGCTAGGGAGGTCCTGACGGCAAATCTAATCCAGGCTTGTCCATCTCTCCTGGTGCTCCTAGGGCAGGTACAACAGGTCTCCTGAGACTTGAACGGGGCTGCTGCAGAGCAGCCACCCCTTGCTGTCAGTGACGTTCCGTGAGGACATTTTGAGCCTCCGCACTTCCTGACGTGGGCTCATTTTACCATACGTGTTCCGTGTCTTTCGTGGCTGCTTGCGGGTTCTGGAAACAGTGAGTCTCCCCGGCACCGCTCAGTTTGTTGCCATACACAATTCTGGGAAAAAGATCTTGGGCCTCTTTCTTGTAAGCGAGACCTTGAAAAGCTGGTGTGTTCTTTGTTCCCTCGCAGCCAGCCCCAGCGATGCCAATCTGATGTGGTAGAGAAGCGCACGAGACGGAGGAACACAAGGATGAGGTTGGAGCAGTCCTTGCCTCTCGTGGGACTCCTGCTGTGTGTGGGTGAGTACGGCTGGCCAGGAGCCCACGGGGACCGGACGGGTGGCTGCCCATGGGCTGCAGAGGAGAAAGCATAGGGGCGTGCGACTGGTTTTGCAAAGTACCCGCAGCCACATCTTCTGCAACTGGCATGTACAGTGCCTATGGAGCTGCTGCTCTCCAGACTGAGCGTTCCCCTCCGAGTGTGGTTCGCGGGAACAGAGAAATGGGAATCCAACCCTCTCCGGCTACAGAAAAGAACCTAAGGTCCCTAGTGAATTTTTGCTTACTAGCTGATTCACTAAGACACCTGGTCTCCAAACTTCATGCAGCAGAGTTGGAGCTTGATGCACTGCTTTCTGCAGCACGGTGAACTATAAGGTTCTGTGGGTTTAATTTTATCTTTATGCTTTATTCATGCACTTTTCGTAAACCGTTTTGTGATCGTGGGCAAACAACTTCAGTTCAAATGCAGTGTGATATCATGGGAGCGGTAGCCATTTCCATGTTACCAGTTTGAACCTACCAGCATTTAGAAAGCTGGTTTAGGATGAAGTGCGGAGTATCTGGAAAGACTATAAAGAAGCTGGTAACCATGAGAGATAAGTTTGAAAGAGAATTAAAAGATACTACAATAAGACTACAGCTACTCTACCAATGTGCTGGCGATAAAACTGCTATTCTTTGAGAAGATTGAAAACATTCGGTTTAGCAATGGCCTGTTCTTGTTTCAAATTTCAATTCATCTTATATAAAGAAAAAATCATCAGATCATTTTCTCTCCAGCCAAGTCCTATGCCTGTGGAATTTCAAATCTACAATTTTGTTACACGTAACTCCTATTGTAAAGTAAGCATCACCTGGGATGAGACAACAGCGCTGAACACATGAATACAGGTCATTCCTTTATTTCCTTACGTTACTTTCTATCAACAAATGTCTTTAAAGCAAATCACAAGTCTGATTCAGACCTAAAAACTGTTTCTATAATAGTCCAGCTCCAGAGGCTTCAATGGAGCTACCTGTTTCCTACCAAGAGAGAAGAATCATGTAGATAAACTTCTTTACAGCGTTAAATCAAGCGTCAGGGTCCAATCCTCCAGTGAGTATGCTCTTGCAGAGGACAGTCGTTCTTACTGCAGAAACCAGGCGTGATTTTCCAGCAGTCTTTGGTCCATGATAATAAAGCAAAATTGTTGGGTGTACAGCTTGCGATAACCCTTTTCCTAAACTGGGTCGGAAAATCATTCAAATTTCCATTCTGCGTTAGTCCGCGTTAAAAATGGCTTCCAGAGGAAAAGACTTCGTTTCAAAACAAGGTCCTGTCTCAGCTAACAGAATGCTTCTAATGCCTTTAGCACAAACGTAAGAGTACAAACATCTCTTGCGAGCAGCCGAGTTCAGAAAGGCTATCCTTAAAGTAGGAAAGGTGTATGATAACAGTATCTAAATTACTTAACGCTTATTCTTTCTTTTGTAGTTGGCACCGCAGCTCAGCAGGGTAAGTGTATTTTACCAGCATTCTTAACTATTTAGTACGATAAAAAGATCAACTATGCCTCACAAGTGAGGACTAGAAGTCAAACAGAAATATTTGAATTTCGCAAATATTGTAAGATAGGAAAAATTCCCTGTCATTAATTGTTATTGATCTCACTGATTTGAAAAATTGGCTGTCATGAACTGTCTCTAATTATTGCTGGTGATCCCCAAGCGCCATTGGGCATTTTCCAGCGGCAACAAGCAGTAAGGTAATAGCGGGCTGATTTGTTAACACTTACTATTCTTTCCGTTGCAGATGACACCAAAGAACAGGAGGGTGAGTGTATTTTAGCAGCATTCTTAACTATTTAGCATGATATAAATTATATACCTCACAGGTGAGGACTAAAAGGCAGATAGAAATACTTGAGTTCAAGCAGTATTTTAGCAGGAAAAAAATTCCTGTTTCTTAGTTGGCACTGTCATCACTGATCAGAAAAATCAGCTAAAACGAGTTGCCCCTAATTACTGTTAGTGGTCTCCAAGCAGGCTTGGCCATTTACAGAGACCAGCAGGCATATGGATAAACAGAACGATGCATGGCAGGTGGCCAGGCTCTCTGACATAAAGCTGAACACGCTGTGATGGTATTTTGATACTGTTCAGTGTTGTAAAGAATCAGTGTAAAAAATCTAAAGGAAAACATACGTGCAGAAGACACATACACAGGGAATTTACGTTACACCATGAAATCAAAGATTTTGCAGAGCAAACTGTCATGGTGGGATCAAGAGTGGGCAGGGGAGCCTGCTCAGAAGCCGTTTGTAATGCTGGTTTCCCTTCTCATTCACCCATCTTCCAAAAAAGAATTCCTGGTGGAGATTTCCGGAACCACGGTGACAATCACATGTCCCTTGATGGACGACAGAGTAGTCTGGGAGATAACTGGGACAAAACCAGCCAGCAACGAGAGGAAGTATGTTATAGAGAATCACGACAGCTCTCCTGCCAACCTGAGCTGTTCGTCAGGTGGTAATAAGTACGACATGTACCTGAATGCCAGAGGTGAGCGAAAAAGCACTCGGTCTATGGGCTAAAGATAAAGGCTACACATTTCAGTGACAGATATTGGGAGCTGAGAACTGATTTTCGGTGCTGCTGGGGGAGTGAATGCGACTCTGCCGAGGCCCTTCCCGCTCTGTGTGGGCAGTAAAAGAGCCCCAGAGCACATTTTTAGCAAAAGGAATCTCCCTGCTCTCTGTGCCTTTCCCTCCCGCTGTCCTCAAGCCGGTTACATGTCAATGGTTCCCACACGCGCAGTGTGCCATCTTCTTTTATACAGCTTCTGCCGTGCTACCAGGCAAGAGTAATGTCCATCACGAAGGCCAGAGGCATTTCTTATCTCACAGAGCGGAAACCTCCCATCTGGAGCACACAGCCTGGTTTCTGTGACCCATCAACCAGGGGGAATTTACCCCGACCCTGACAGCGTGATTTAACCCTCCCAGCCATTTGAAATCTGGGCAGCTGCTCTGCATTCAGGACTCACAGTCTAGCGTAGGCAGAGGGGGGCAATGATCCAGGAGATGTTTCGCACCCTCCGGCTCAGGCCATGCAAACAGCAGAGTAGCAAAGGAGGTTGCACCCACCAGCCCGCTGGCTCTGTCCGTTTGCAGACCGAAATGGCAGGGCAGATAGAATGGCTGTGCTGTCTCTCTTTCTTTTTCTTTGCTCTTTTCTCCTTCCCACCCGGAACTGTATCTTTTCTGCTAGCACTAAGCAGATGAGTGAGACCTGGACTTTCCTTGCTGGAAAGGAAGGGTGCCCGTCTCTGAGCACCTTCATCTCTCCTCCTGGCAGTGTGCGCAAACTGTGAGGAGCTGGATGCCTTGGCAGTGACAGGGATCATCATTGCGGATCTTCTCATCACCTTCGGGGTGCTGATTCTGGTCTACTACTTCAGCAAAGACAGGAAGGGGAGACCGAGTGCTAGTGCTGGCAGTCGGCCACGAGGTAAGAGCCATTTCAGGCGTCTCCGCTTTCCGTGATGTCTGCTAAGCACTTAATTAAGCACTTGCCCCTGCTGAGTGATGGAGCATCCTCTGTTCCCTCCAAGCCTCCAAGACCTCACCAAACAAGGCTCCTGCTTGCCACATCTCGGGTCTGCCTTCTTGTATGGGATGGGTGCGGCTGCCGCGTTGTGTCAAAGGCTTCCTGCCCATAGGAAACCATTTCATAGGCTGTCGCGCGTTGGGTCTGTGCTGAAGCAAACCCTGTATGGCAGCTGCTCAGCTTGCAAGCGTAGCTGCAAACCCAGCCTGGCCCTGGCCCGCTCAGCTGCTGTCTCAGGCAATCAAAGACCAAGAGTTAGGCCCACACACAGAACACGTGATTAGAAACCGTGGTGTTATTAAAACTATAAATTATTTGAATTTCTGGCTTCTGAGGCCATGGTTTGGTGACCCAGTGGGTCCAGCAGCGGGGCTCATGGGTTATAACTGCTGGGGTAAAGCGATGCAGGGTGCTGACCTCACGCTGCTGGTTCAGATTTGTTCAAGAAGTGTTGATGGTGACATTTATGCCAGGAGGTTGCCTGTCAGACAAGTGCCACGGGTGCTCACCAGGCACTGCCACTTTTCCCCTAGCCTCCACAAAGCTGATACAAATCTTTCAGGAAGCCGAAATTCCCTGTTGCGTGCTTAGTGCGCGTGTTGTGCGCCGGGTTCAACAGAAATGTGATGATGTGCCCGTGCAGCTTGCTGAGGCAGAGGAGTATAGATCTGGTATCCATATTGTGGAGCTGTAGCCTGGGCCTGTGCTTATGGGGCCTTCTTGTTTTCAAGTATTTCTTCACAACCAGGAAAGTTAGAAATTTCCCCTTTCTAAAAGAAAGCTGATTTCCTCCTAAATGATCTTAAGGCCACCTGCCTGCAGCAGTTGGGTCTTTAAAAGCTGTAAGCGCATAATAAAGCCATGTGAGTTGACCCATGGTATGCATTACCCGGGATCATCTCCATGAAAGTCCCTCGCGCTGCGTTATATGAATCGTCACCAAGGATGACCTCTCTTTGCTTCTGTTGCAGGTCAGAAGATGCAGCGTCCTCCCCCCATTCCAAACCCAGACTATGAGGTATGGAGTACCTGCATTTTTTCCATCTCTCTTTGACGGTTGGGGAGGGATAACCAGAGCTGGGAATCTGTAGCATTTATCCTTTTTGCTCCTTTGAAGAAGCATCCAGTCAACTTCCAAGTTTATTCAGGAATGGAGGAAAAAGGAGGGGAGGGTGGACCCCCTTTTCCCGGTGCCGACACAGGCAGTCGGGAGCAGAACGGCAGCTTCCTGCGCGCTGCGCACGCTACCCGAGCAGCACTACGTCTGCTCTCTCCGTTGTGGTTTTCTCCACGTATTGCGTGGACCAAGACCCTGGCGTTGTTTGAGGGTTGTGTCAGTAAGGTTCCCGAACTAACATCTCTGCTGTTCCCACAGCCCATCCGGAAAGGCCAGCGGGAAGTGTATGCAGGCCTGGAACCCAGGGGCTTCTGAAATTCCCACGGATGGCAGGCTGGAAAACAGCAGCAGAGGGGCGAAGTGCTTCTGCCCCGCTCGGTACCGGTTCTCTGCAGGCCTGCCAAGGCCCAGGCGCTCCGGGGTAAGCCGGGCGGCTACTGAGGACAGGCACCCTGCTGCCATCCACCGTCCCACCGTGATGTGTTCCTTTGGCCTTCAGCTTGGCATAAGGAAAAAGAAACAGATGAGCGCATTGGCAAGAGAAGTTTTCCTTCTCATTAAAGGACTGCAGCTTCACTTGTGGTTCCTGGCCTCCTTTTCCCTCACGCTTTTCTCCCTGCTCCAGTTGCATGCTCTGGTTTTCCCTCCCATTTAATTTCCACCCTGAGCGCTTCTACTTGCTCCCCGAGCCTTCCTGGGTAGCTCCTGGGCAACGAGCGGGTCCTTCTCAGCGTGACTGGCCTCTCACCTTGGCCTCTGACCATGTTCATAGCCTACCTTCGTTTCGCGACCCAGGACTGTAACAGAAGGAACAGAGGCAGTCAGCATATTAAAAACAAAAAGGTACATTTTCATAGAAAAGCCACTACCTCGAATGAAATTATTTCAGTTCTTTTCCTTTAAAAAAAAAAGAACCACTCCTACCAGTACACGTGGACCGGCCTGTCCATCCTCCAGCCCTTCTGTAGGAAACAAGTTTTGCCCACTTTGCATCCTTCGACCTTTATGTATCAGACCTTCAGCAGAGCATCCTCATAGGGTCACATGAGGATTTGGTGCCTTCCCGAGCCATCCGAAAGCCTCCTATTAGGAAATTGAAGTGCTTGGCTTAAATCTTTGTTGCCAGTAAACAGTGGGGCTCCTAGATATTTCAGCTAAGACTTGAGCCCCCACTTAGCAATGAGTATCAGCTTTGCAGTTCTACTGAGACAGCACAACAGGGATTTTCAGGCTTCCCAGATTGGAACTGAGACCCTTTGGCTCAGCCCCAGGGCTAGCACTCTGCGAGTATCAGCTTTGCAGTCTGACTGAGACAGCACAACAGGGACTTTCAGGTTTCCCAGATTGGAACTGAGACGCTTTGGCTCAGCCCCAGGGCTAGCACTCTGCTCTGAAACAGCTTGTTCACTGGAATTGAAACGAATGCATTGGGACCACAGAGCTGAAGCCCAGGACCTACAAAATCCAAGAGACCATCAAACTCTTTTTCTAGGCTGTCCTTCTCATCCCAAAGACTTGATGGACTCCATTTTTACTGATAATCCATAGCGTAGTCTAGGATAGACACATTTCTTTAAGCGTATTGTACCCTAAGGGGTGTACAAGTACACTTGCTGGCAGAGTTTTGTTTTCCAGAGCTATCGCCCTTAGAGATTCTTGTGATTTGTCCTTTGCAGCTGCCCTTTCTCTCCCCATTTCAGCTCTGTAACCTGAGTTCTGCCTGGGTTCTGTTAGAAAGGCGGCAGGCTGCTTTGCCATTGGTCAAGATCCATTTTAACTTTTTTTATATACATTTAAAAACTGTAATACATTAATAAAATGGAAGATAGCACCCCTAGGTATGCATGGGAAAAGACTTCCCCTGTGTTTTTGTCTTTGTTAAAGAAAAACGGTTTTTGTTCAGGGGAGTTCCCAGGCCAGGAGGAGTCCGAAACAGCGAGAGCATCTGTGGGTCTGGGTTGACTCACCTCGCAGCAGCCTACGAGGGGTTTGGGAGCAGACTGTGCCAGGATGGGGGCAGGGGACACGCAATTACACATGCAAAAATGCACTGCTGTGCCCAGGGGCCTGAGAGCAGGGCAGGGGTTAACAGGAGCTGGGGAGTGAGTCTGGGGCTGCTGTCTGGGGAAATAGCTGAGGTCCCATGCACTCAACATACAGATTTTAAATCTGCCTGACTTGGAAAGCTGCGGTTGCCAAAAGAGCAGCAACGGGACAGGTAGTAACTTAAGAAGGGCCCAAGAGATGCTGCGATGCCTGGGAACCTTTCTGGCCAAGTGAGCCACATTTCTGTTGCTCTGCAGAGCAACAGCTCTGAAGAAAGGAAACAGCAGCAGTGATGGGGGCTGGGGGTGGTTTAACCCTTGAGTCTGAGCACGGGGAGATGAACACCCAGCAAGCTCCATGCTGCGGATTGCTGTGCTTACCCTGCAGGATGTGGTTTTAAAGGCAGCACAGCTGGGTTTACCGTACAGGGTGCTAAACATCTAGGAGGCAGATTGCAAGGTACAAAGAGCACTACCCCCCAGCAGCTCTAAAACCACTCTGGGTCACGCTCTCAGCTTCTGCAAAACATCACTGCTCCAGGGATGCTAGCTCAGCCCAGCCGTACAGCCCGTTGCCACGAATGGGACGTGGGAAGCTCTGGGTGTACAAGGGCTAAATTGTGCCTCAAGCTACACCCCAGTGCTCCTGTCACCATTTACAGGGTTGCATGTTTGCCTAGCGTCTGCCCCAACCAGTGCCACCCCGTGCTCTCCTTATCTCAGTGGGATCAGCGCCCATCCAGTCTGCTTAGCTGCAATATAGAAATACCTCTTTGTCCTCCCAAGGCTGAGGTGCTGAGGAGCCTCTCACAAATAGATAAGTTGTAAATGTTGCCTCTTATGGCTCTTTGATTTGCGCAGAGCATACCCACCCACTCTGCTCTGGGTTTCTGCTGCTCTTTGGGTATGGTTAGCCACCTTAGCTCATCGCTTTGGCTTGATGGTGATGAAAGCGCTACAAACTAGGCAGTCTGCTGGTCTCTTTTTTAATAAGGTCCTACCCAGATGGCTTTGCAGACCAAAGGCAGGTATTGGCATATTCTACCTGCAATGGCCATATCAGGCTCACCCTTCACTGGAGCAGGTTAGAGCGGAAAAACCACTAAGACATTATTCTGCTCCTGTGAAGAGCAAAATGCTGTCACGTAAAGAGCTGACACCATAGGAAAACAGGCCCTTTTCTTGTTCACTGTCCACAAGGCTGATCACACACTGATTCCTGTAAGGGCACGTGGGGTGCACCGACAGCTTTGCACAGCCTATGAGTTGTTTGCTGCATCAGACGTGTCACAGATTTGTGGCCGGTTTTATTGGGTGTTAACTCCTCTGGTGCTTACTTTATACCACTGAGTCACAAGGCAATTCACAGCCTGGTGCTCTCTAAAGCCTGTCACCCAGATTCTTAGAAAAGCAGGAAAACACAATCTACAGGTGTGTGCAACTGGCACACGGAGGGCGACCTGGTTTCTGAGGTTTCTAACTGCTAGCTGACCCTGTCTGTTATCTGCCTCCCGTTTTGGCCATAGTCAGACCACATTAGCTGTTTCTGCTCAGAGCTGGGAACGGGGACCTTGCCAAGAGGAGCTGGTTTGGTGTGGGCAGACCCAATGTTGCTCAGTGTCTGGAAAGGTGGTTGAGCTGGGAAAGGCCCTCAAAGTTTGCTCGACTGCACCCTGTACTCAGCACGCTAGGATGGCTAATGAGCCTTAAAGAGGGGTTGCCAATGCCTGGTCACAAAGGTGAGTCACTCTCCAGTGGCCTGGAGAGGCAGAGGAGGTGGGGGGAGCCTCCCAAGAACATCGGAGGCGCTGGGAACATGGACTGCCTCTGGCCTTCGCTGCCTGGCCAGCTCTTCTGCCACGTGTTTTGCACCGTCTCTGGTGCAGTTTTTGTCCTCTCTGCTGTTTCCATTTCCTCTTTGGGCCCAGCCCCCACGAGCTCTTCTGGGGAGCCAGCATAGCTTGCTGCTTTGCTCATGCTCCTCTCCCCGAAGCACTGAGGCAACCTGCAGGCTGGGCGGGTGCCAGGGACCTGGCAAGCTTCTGCGATTTGGAGACTGTGCTTAGATGCCAAGCCCTGCATGTGCAGAGGAAACATCCTCCTGTCCTCCTTCCTGCCAGCCCCCTAGCTCTGTCCAGGGGACCGAGGCACCCAGGTTCTTTGCAGCAGTGACACAGACCCTGCTGAGCATCCCTGTACTCCTGGTGTCACCGCTCCCCATTCTGGAACGGGAGCTAAATGAGACAAAGTCTCTGCACGTGTCAAGGGCAGCAGCCCTCTCCCTTCACAACGTCCCCCATCCTCAGCTTCAGCAACGGACATGGATGTCATTTAGATCCTGGCACAGAGAGGTGGCACAGACACGGGCACCTGCCTGCACTGGCAGAGCAGTGTCCTACCGGGACAGGCAGGAGCCTCATGGTTCTGCAGGCATCCAGGCTGATTGCATCCAGCGTCCACCTTCCCCGGCCACCGCACGGCTCCCCAGGCCTCAGCACAACCGACGGAGCAGGGAGGCTATGGGATAGGCTCATCTTTAATGAGAGGAATACAGAAGTGCAAGAGGTCATGGAAAAAGCAGAGTGCTACAAGCAGCCCGTCCTGGCAAGGAGCCGGAGGGCTCTTTAGGCAAAAACCTGAACTGTCTTCTGCCAGCAGTGAGCTTACAAAGTCAGCGCCATGGCAGGGTACTGGGGCTCTTGGGCACCAGCAGAGGCTTTGCTGTAATACCACTCCCGGCATGAAGGAGTCACAGGCCCCAGAGTCTTCCCACTTCACTTGCGGGCCTTGGCAGGTGCCAGCCGGCTGTACTGTCCGTCGTCTCGCTCACCAAGGGGCTAGGAGGAAAAAAAAGTGAGACGAGCTACAATTGTGTCTGTCCAGCCCTGGGAGGGAGAGTACAGGGGAAGCTGGCCCAGCCCTCTCTTTGCCAAGCTTTTGGAAAGCTTTCCCTCCCCGCACGCAGAGCTTAACAACCCCAGAGAGCAAGAAGCAGAGGGTAGCTGAGCTTGCCCCATCCTCTGGGTCACTCAGGGGGAGGCGGCTGCGAATGCCCCAGCAGAGAGCAATCTCCAACGCAGCTCAGTGCCTCCAGGCATCGGGTACCCCCAGCAGCTGGGACGTCATGGCCACGCCGGTCCTACCACGCAGCCCCACCCCACACAGAGCCACCGAAGCCCACGTGCACACACACACGTGCACCCACACTTACCTGGTAGAGCTGCTCGTTGGCAATCAGGTTCTGCCTGTCAGAAGCTAAATGAAGAAAGCAAGCGGTCAATGATCAGGGGAGTCATGGGCAGCATGGTGAACATTTGCAAACAAACCCAAGCGGCCGGCTGCTTTCAGCCCTGTGCTGTTACTTCCTCTGGGAGGCTTGGTGGAAAGCCCCTGCAAGGCCTCAGGTGTTCCTGTGTCACCAGCTGCCATCCCCGTGATGGTGTTTTGGTTAACCTTGTGCATTCGCTGGCTTCTCCTGGGAAGCTGAGCTAGGGGCAGCGTGGGCATACGGAGTGCTCACATGGATCCCTACCCTACACCCGCTGTGTGCTGGCCGCTGCCTACAGCTTGCAGTGACTGGGCTCTGTGGGCAGCGACGGAAAGTCCCTAGGTACCACGCAGCTCCTAGAGATGCCCAGGTGCTTCCCGTCCCCACCCGTGGGCAGCCAGCGGGGCCCTCCCCTCACCTCGTGACATGCGTCCCTTGTCCTGGCCAGTGATGCAATACACAGCAACCGCCAGGAAGATGGTGGCGACAACATCTGCGACCACGATCCCCGAGATGGTGGGAGCATCCACTTCGATGCAGTTCTGGCACACTGGAAGCCCAAAAGGACACAGATAATGAAAGCAGGGCCATGACCAGGACCCTGCCCCTTGGCCACCTCCGCCCTGCCGCCAAGGCCAGTCTGAGCCCAAAGCACTCAGCCAGCTCTGCCAGTCCAGGCAGGCTCCGGTCCCAGAGCAAGAGAGACCAGGGATGAAGTTTGGCTTGCTGTGTGACCCAAGGCAGCGGCTCAAGCTGCCACGTGTCCCCGGCACTCAGGGCAGGCCACCGCAGAGCCAGCAAGGGGCTAGCAATGAGGCAGGTTAGGGCACTAAATGAGGCCGTAGAGCTCTCACGGGAACACCAGATGCAGGGGAACGTGCAGCTTGGCTGTTCCCAAAGGTAACCTAGTACAGGAGCTGTCAGGACTTCTGCAAGTTCGTACCTTCCCACCCTCAAACTCTGGGAAATCAGTAGTTCCCTCAAAAATTCGCTTGGGTGAAAACTCCAAGCAGTTCTAGCTCTACGAACCAGGTTTATAACACTTACTTCGATAGTGCACCTGGAGGGAGGAGCTTTTCTTCCTGCTTTCCAGTTCACATGCATAGATGCCTCTGGGATCATCGTAAATTGAGCCCAAGTCCAGCTCTGTTGTGTTTCCTATCCTGTTCCCATCTTTCAGCCATATGATTTGACCTTTTTCCTCTGTTACACATTGCAGGAACACCTTCCCACTAGCTTCTTTCACGATTACTTTCTGTCCTGTAAAAAAAAAAAAAGGAGAGCAGACAGCTTGACAGCCGAGTTCTCAACTCTCACAGTGGCGCAGAACTCCGAGATCTCATTCATGGAGATGGCTAGCGTAGAGAGCATCATATTAGGCTGTCCCCTGAGCAGTGGAAAGGACACCGCAAAGAATGAACTCTGGAAAAAGCAGACGACCCAGCAGAAAAGCAGTCCATTGTTCAACTGGTGGTTACATTAATGCAGGTCTGGGTGGTTAAGAGATCCAAATTCCTTTAGAGTGAAAACTAACTGGAATCGGGCATCTACCTGGACTCCATTTGGACTGTATGTGGTTGACCCTCATCCCACAAACAGACTGCATTGGTAGTGAAGCGCAAAAGCAGCGAGAGACGTTGCAACAGAAAGCCGAATGTTTCTACCAGCAGGGACAAGGAGCTGAGCCCACTTAGGTTTTTACCCAATAGTAAAAAACATTTTAGTGAAAATCATGCAAAAAACCACACAGAATTGCTTCCATGTCCCAAAGGCATCACCTTCAGAGTCTGCAAACGGACAGTAAATTCCCTGTCTTACTCGCTGAGCGCTGGAGCTGAGTACAGAATACAGCCCCTCCTGCTCGCATATCTGTGCCAGGCACAAAGCCCACGGCTACTCCGGTCTAACACCACGGTACTGCCGAGTCCCACTTCGCATGCTCTGTCCTCGCAAGGTTAAAGCCATCACGGACGGCCACCGAGCGAGGCACACGGCTCCAGACTGTCCCTGCAACGGCCCAGGGCACCCATCCGCTCCCTCTTCCCCACCGACGTTTACGAGCCTCACGTCAAGGTGCTGTGACGGGAAACCCCGGTAAGCCGTGGGGCTCTGCTTCCCGGCCACCCTCCCACCACTGACTGCAGAGACGCCCGCAGTGGAAGCGACACGGGTGGGTCTGCAGGGAACCGTGCCGAGTGC